GGCTTTGACCCACGTTCCTCAGATTTGGGCCTCCTGAGTGGCTAAGATTATAGACATGAGCCACTGGTGCTTGGCTTCAAGGCTCTGTTTTAAAAAGTACTTAGGGTGCAAAGAATTGAGAATACCAATAAATGTCTTGTTTTATATACAAATATAGATATATATCCATATATATACGAACATATATATGAATAGATGAATGTATATCTGTATTATATGTATATAAATTCCATATATATATATATATATATATATATGGAATCCATCTATTGCTTTTGTGAATGGACAATATATTCAAAGTCTCATTTCTTGAATCCTTTGTTTTAATAAATACTATTTCCTCTCTTCTTTCCCTTCCTCCTCTCCTTCACTGCCTCTCCCTCTTTCTTTGCTTCTTTTTTTCTTTTTTCCTTTCTTTTTGTTTCTCTCTCTGTCTCACTCTTTTCACTATCACTTGAATCATATGCTTTATTGCTTTAGTTTGTTTCTGTTATATAAGGTCTCATGCATTTGTTCAGGCCAGCTTTAATTTCCAATCCTCTGATTTCCACTGGAAGTACAAGCCAGCACCCCCATGCCTGGCTTATATTTTCTATAAAACATATCTGAAGCAAAATTTAACCACCAATTATTAACTTTTAGAATTATGTATTTTCTTGACCGTTTCTTCTTTAATAGTATCTTTCCTAGCTAAATTTATCTTTAATATAACCAGAAAATAATCCCATTGTTCTTTCAGAAGTAAATGTGCTATCATAAGTGTTAGTCGTAGCCACAGATGGAAAATACAAGTCCCAACAGTTGTTTTTAAGACTCCATGAGATAGACTTACAGGTGTTAATTGTTTTTTTCAGAGTTATGTCAGAATGACTGCATGGTAAGGTTGAGATACTCAGTTTGGAAGGAAAATCAAAGTTGAACTTGATCCTCTACCCTTATTTGAAAGATAAGGCCATGGAACTATTGCCAGTTAGAACTTAGGAGTTTTCACAAAGACAACTCTCAATATAAAGATTTTCTGCTTCATGTCAAACAAAATACTTCTTATCACACAATTCTTTCACAGGGAACAATATGCATGCAATCAATACAGGTATTCATTACAAACAATTATCAGAGGACTATAAGCCTGCTCTCTTGTTATTCAGATTGTGTCTAGTCACTGCAATTATTTTTGCTGGGGTATTTAGCATTAGCATTTAATATATTCTTCCCATCTACACACACACACACACACACACACACACACACACACACACACACACACACACTATTCTTACTGGAGTTTCAGCGGGCACCAGAGGTAAAAAAAAAAAAAAAAAAACACCTATGTAGGCACCTATGGAAGAAGATAAGGTTAAATTGTAAAAAAAAAAAAAAGAACACTGGAGACCATTATACAGTGTAGAGAGAGCAATCATTTACACCCATCATTTCTAAAAGAGATTTCAGCAGATTTACCCTAGGGTCGAACTCCAAGATATTTCTGCTTTCTTCAGAAAGAGAAGGAACTGGAAATGCCTATCTGACTTAAATATTGCCAATTTGTCTGACTGCTACGTGTCTTGGCCTTCTATTAGACAATCTCTTTGACACCTGTCCAGTTAAGCAAAAATAAAGCCAGAGAAACAATCACTTTAATTTACATACATACAGATGTATATTGTAGGTATAGGTAGGGTTTCTTTTAAAAGGGAAAGAGAGAATGAAAAAGAAAGGAAGAGATAAAGCTTATTCTAAGCTATAATGTCTCAGAGCACATTGAGATGCATTGGAACTGAGGAAGCTTAGAAATCATGTGCTGGTCTTGCCTGGATACAGACTGAATATCTGAAGATAATATACAAAAACAGTGTACACATGCTATCCATTGAAAACACTTGTATTGAGTCTATTTGACTGAAGAAGAATAAAAAGTATTCTTTATATATAAAACGTTTCCCAGATACCAAAAGATCAAATAAAAATCCCACCCCTTCTGCTGTTTTCCTAGTTTACTATATACGCATTTGAGGAAATATTTCATAGCACTTTTCTCAGGTTTACTGGGCTGGAATCAAAGGGATCGACCATCCCCTGCCACACACACACACACACACACACACACACACACACACACGCACGCACACACACACACACACACACACACACACACACACACAGAAGAAGGGAGTCATGGTTTCTTGTAGCACCATATGGCAGGATAGGTATAGAGGGATGGCTGTGGATGTCAGCTTCTGGTGGAGAACTTCACTCCTGGAAGCCATAGCCATGGCTTCTGAAATTGTAGCTGTCCCTCATTTGAGAAGTCAGTGGGCATTTTAAACTCAGCTAGGTCCTTCCATTCTCTTTTAGGTAGAATTGATAGGTTAGTGTGATCAAAACAGACTCATATTGTAAAATTCTATGAGCAATACTCTTTATCCTCCGACAAAGAAAGAGTGCCACTTATTGGAGATGTAGTAAATTTACCTTAACCTATAGCAATGTAGATAGATTACTTCATGGATGTAGGGAAGGGAATCAAGGAAGACAACTGTGATAGTAATTATTCAATACTGTTTCCATTTCTTTTTTAACATGGGATTGGTCATATTTTGAATGATAGCACTCTATAATTTTACAAACAATTTAGAATGATTTATGCTTTATTGTTTTGTTTTAATTTTGTTTTAGTTGTAACCACCATATATGAGGCTGGTATTTTGGCTCATGCTTGTAATCCTCGCTACTCAGGGGACTGAGGTCTGAGAAGCACAGTTCAAAGCCAGCCTGGGGAAAAAAAGTCCATGCAACTCCTATCTCCAATTAACCACCAAAAAGCTGGAAATGGAGTTGTGGCTCAAGTGGTGGAGCACTAGCATTGAGAAAAACCCCAGGGACAGAGCCAGGACACTGAGTTCAAGCCCCAGGACCAGCACAAAAATTAAAATAAGTAAATACACAACAAAGAAACAAGAATGAAGTTGGCATGGACAGGCCTTCCTGGTGTTGGATGATTGTGATACATCTTAACATGACACCATTTTGGGGATACCCATCTCTTTTCTTTTTGCACACTTGCCAAGACTATCTTTCTCAAATTTTTCCAAAGAGAAAATACTTTAAAATAACAACTTTGATGATATAACAACAAAATTTTGTATTTCAAATTTACAATATTGCCGTTGTATTCCAAACAACAAGATTATAAGGGGACAGCTAATAAATACCACATAATCTTTCACTAAATGTGAAGTGTACTTTGACTGAAGTGTTTTAAATATGTAAGACCTTGATTAAAAATAAAATAGTGCCCTTTCTTTTCCCTGGATGGTATTTTGGTTATTATTAGTGGATTTTTCACAAAGAACAATTACTCAATGTGTTTTTAACAGAAATAACTTCACCCCAAGTTTTTGCTAATTGATTCAGAATGCATTCCCTTTTCTGTGGACTGTGAATCTTCCACAAAGAAATGTTAACCAAGGTTTTTATTTCCCCAAACTACAGTAAAAGAAATCTTTTATATACTTTCAAATACTGTGCCTTTTATTTAAAACAGTATAACATAACAACTCAACACCACCAATAATTGGAAAAGGACTGGGCATGTGAACACTAGTTTTCTCGAATGCTCTGTGAAAGTAAATAAAACAGACAAATTGTCAGGAGAGGTTTCAGTTCACCTTAGCAGTGGTAAAAATATTGCTTTATTCCAAATGAACATACAACACAATTGACTTTTGTTGGAAAAGGGTTTTCTTGTGAACTGAATAGTCTTGGGCTTTTTTATTTCAACAATTTTTTCTTTCTGTTTTAATCACCAATGTGTTGGTCCCCATAGCGTAGACTCATTAGAAAGGAAATAGGAATGAGGATGATGAGGAAAAAAAATAGTTAACTCTCAATTTGATCATTGGCTTTTGTGAATAATTTAAAGAGATCGGATTCAAAATAAACACACATCCTCCATTAATTCATTTGTGATACTGATATTGCCCGTAAGCCAAAAGTTGTTCCTTTCAAAAGTATTCACATCAGAAAATGGTCTAGACAGTGTCAATCATTTTAAAGGGTCCATCATGCAAGCAACCTGCATTTAAGAGCTCACGAACCGAATTTTATATTTAATGGAAAATTTTTAAGTGAAAAGTTCCAAAACAGAATTTTTTTTTTCTGGAATATTGGATTCCCTGATGTTTCAGAACAAGTTTTATCAAGCTAAATACACACACATGCACACACAGACACGCAACGAACACATGTGCTAAGAGCATCTGTGCTCGAGTGAGCAGGCACACACACATTTGCATCCCGCTCACACAGGTGCACACACGCACACATGCACACACACACGCGCACGCACACACACACACACACACACACACACACACATTGAGAAATGCTCCTTCAGAGCTTCTAAACACTCTCCAAGAAAAAACATTTCATATTAGCATGATTTTAGTGACACAACATTACGATTTTTTTTGTCTCTTTTTCTTTAGTAATTTCATCCCTCCCTCTGAGGTTCTGTGCTTTCCGATTTCAGAGGGAGATAACACAGAAGAGTAGTTAAGACTGCCCCCAAGACTCCATCTCTATCTTCCTCCTCATTCTGTTCCCTGTGCCATTCTTCAAAAATCAAATACAGAACTCTACATCTTCTGGACATGACATACCTGTGATGAGGGTGTTGAATGAGTAGAAATTTAGAGGCTGGGAGTGGCAAGGCAAATGGCTAATGGCCACCTGCTGGCATGTCCACTCTCATGATACAGCTTGTCTCTTTGAAACTAGGTGAGTACCAGTGCCATGCTGTGTGGACACAGGCACCGAGGGGCGGAAGGGCTGAACTGCCCACTTCTAAATAACCAAAGAGGACAAACTGAAACTGGGATTCAGAATTCTACCCAAAAGCTTCACTGGTAAGCTTTATCCCTCCTGAAACATTTCTTTCCCTTTAAAAAAATATTTTGTTAAAAAACACTATGATATGAGGGCGATAGACTATTTGGTTTCTTCTAAGTAGATGCTCTTAAATTAATGCATATAAATAATTTTGCTTTTAATTTCCTCTCTTTCCTGTTGAGTGAAGCATCGAATGCACAGATTCCTACATCTCAAGTCACTTGGTCAATGAAGAGTCTCTTTGTATTTCATTCCTTAAGACAAACTGTGCCTCTCGTTCTGATTTGGCCGTGGGACTCAGGGGGAGAAAGGCTGTGTTTTCGCTCGCACTGTCCTCGATGTCTACGCTGGCCAGTTCGTAGTCTTCTGACCTTCTGGCATCAGTCAGAATTCGGATCTGCTCCTGGACAGTCTCCAGCAATATTTTCACTTCTTGCTGTTCTGCTATAAGACAATCGCTGACAGGAATACTCACATTGACGATGTCAGCTGAGTAGGAGTTTTTGCACCATTTGATGCTTTTGACTTCAGAAATCCCTGGCATTTGCATGCAGGTTTCTTCTAGACCCACTGAAGGGATAATGGGCACAGAGCTGGCCCTTGTGGATGGGTATCCCACCAAGTCCTTTTGATCCAAGCTATTAAAATAGGGGTTTGTGTCCCTTGAAGGCAGTTGCATATTTATTGATGTATTTTGTTGGGTTTTTAAACCATTGGATGCATACCTGCAAGAGAAAGAAAGTGTCACATGTTCTGCTTTCCACCAGGCTGCTGTTGAGCCACAAAGCACTTTCCACATGCACCAGCTCACTGAATTCTCAAAAGCAACCCCATGAGACGGATATGCTCCCAAACTACACAGAGAAGTAAACTGAAGCTCAGATCAGTGAAGTGACTTGCCCAAGGTCACACAGAAAATAAGTGACAGACTGAGACTCAAACCCAGATCTTCTTACTTTAAATCCAGGGGTCTTTCAACACACCACAGCTGTATAGGCAGGTGGGATATAGTCTTCCTGACCTCTATCCTAGAATACAAAGTAAATGGGGGTTGAGCAGGTAAGTGTGGCCTTCCCATCCTGACACACAGGACCCCATCATGGCATTCTTCTACTCCAGCAACTCGACCACCCTCTCAGCCCCGAGTTGGCCTCACACACATGGTGTGACCTCCGGATTGGAGACAATCAGTTGGCATAGGCACTACAATCTTGAGATTTTTTTTTTCTGTTTTACATTGATTTTAGAGGATGCCATTCCAATCGCTTTTGTTATTTTGTCCATTGGGACATTCACTGCCACCCCCAAGCCCCTTGTTAAGTGTGAGAATGGGAACAGGAAAGACACAACTCCTCCGTCTGCCCAAATTGGCTAGTAAAACACTCTTCCAGGAGCACTTTGCCTCCTGTGCTTTTTGTAGTCAAGTGAGGGAGTTCACTGGTACATGGTGAGACATTGCTGAGAATATCAATGTAATTTGAAGATGCCAGAAACTGGCTAGTCTCCTTCTTGGCTGCTCAGGGTTGGTGATTATTTTTCCCCTTTTGTCTGTGCACCCAAAATTTGAGAGTTATATCCTTGAGTTATAGAAAGATGGTTTAGGGAGATTTGTACAGTATATTAGATTCTACTCGTTAGTGATTTACCTTTAAACATTAAATATTAATGTTAAAGTATAACTTAAATATCTCTAATCTCCATGCAATAAATTTCATCCTCCTGTCTTTTACTCTCATGGCAATAAAATGATGTTTAACATATGAAGAATAATTTCATTGAAGTGTGTTGCTTACTAAATAAAAGCATTTATTATGAGATTACACTAGGTAAAAACTCAAATTTGCCTTTCCACCAGGTTGTGAACAAAACCTATAATCCTAGCTACTCAGGAAGATAAGATCTGAGGATCATGATTCCAAAGCCCAGGCAGAAAAGTCCATGAGACTCTGATCACCAATAAACTACTTAGAAAAAACTGGAAATGTTCTGTGGTAAAGTTCTAGCCTTGAGGAAAAGAATCTCAGGGACAACACTCAGGCCTGGCACAAACAACTAAATAAACAAAAACAAAAACAAAACCTGAGATCTTAGTACCCATCTGTTCTTACTGTGCATTGAACAGAGTCAGCAATCAGTAAAACTAAATCTGACAATGCAGAGCATATGGGAACAAGTCTTCAAGGTAAACACTCCCTTTATAAACACTCCTTCATAAGATCCACTTTCAAACCTAATAACCACAGCCAACACTTGCAGAGTGCTTCAACAAAAAGCACTTCCACCTCCAATTATCTCATGGATAATGTTGAAAACACTACTGTAATGTACTCATTGCTTCATAAGCAGGTAGAAGCTCCTATTTTGAAATGTGATGGTAATAGATTCAAATTCTTGCACATGGATCTAACACTATAAAAACAAAGTTGGTTAAATATCTTACAGGATGTCTTTCATTTATAGTTCCAACTACTTGATGATATGGTATGTCTAAGTACAAAAGCACTTAATGCCAAACTTAAAAATCATTCCTGTAATATTCCTGAGTGTTGAACTGCAGTTAGCTTTTGTGAGTTATTTCGAAAGACAGCTATTGGACACTTTGCTGGCAATAACTGGTATCTAAAATACTGCCAAGACATAAAGATGGGATTAACAATGAGGAATGTCCAAGATATGACTTGGAATGTCCAAGATATGACTTAGCTTTGAATCAGACATAACTTCAAGCTCCTATACCATTATGTACCCTAGAATCACAGATGTTTGGCAGTGTCCCTTTAATTTTTCCAAACACTTAAAACTGAGGCCAGGTGGTAGTGTAGTTAATTGTTAAAATACATGCTAACCATGCATGAGGCCCTGGGTTCAATCCCCAGTACCAGAACCAAAAAGAACCAATCAGTAATACTTTTGGTCTAATGTAATCAGTGCCTCTGTAGACTTTGGCCAGATGCACAGAATATCCCTTATGTCTTTTGTACAAATATTTTGAGGAACCCAGAACTAGTATTTTAATAAGGAGCCAAATTTCTAGATGTGATTCTGACTTAGAAGATACTCAAAGTTATGTCACCCTTGAGAGTAAGCAACTCTTTCACAGGTTTGATACATGACCTTGCTGGTCACTGACAGTACTACCAGTTTGTGAATAGCCCTCCTCTCATCATTACACACACACACATACACACACACACACACACATACACACACACAAACACACACACACGCAAATCACAGATGCATTTTGTCTAGAACTGTGAGTGAAGAAGAAGGACTCTGACAATTAGTCCCTTTATTTACTGCCTAGTAATTCAGGGGTCAAGGAATTTGTGTTTCTCTAGTTGACTATGAGACCCAGCTCATTATACCATTAGAACAAACAAACTAAACTGAGGAAATCCACCTCACTCCTGGAGGATACAATTAGCTATTTATTTGTACATAATGTGATTTTCTTCACATTCCCTTCCTGGTTCTTGGTTTATTTAGTCAAAAAGGCCAGTATTCAATCTCAGCTATTTGACATGGAATATTGGCTACCACTCTAGGCTGGGGAGTTAAACTTTCCTCTTTTATGGGACTTGTCACTACATTTTGTATTGCCAGACATGATGACTCATGCCTGTAATCCTAGCTTCTCAGAGAATAATGGTTTCAAGCTAGCCAAGGCAAGAAAGACCGGGAGACTCTTCTCTCCAAATAACTAGCCTAAAGACAGAAGTGAAGCTGTGGGCTCTAGTGGTACAGTGCTAGCCTTGAGCAAAAGAGTCCTCAGTTCAAGCCCAAGTATAAGCACATGTTTTGTCCCCGAAATAATAACTGAAGTAAACTACAAGTTGTTAGCTAAGTGAAGTAAGAAGTTAGTTAGTATATTTTGGATCTCTTCTACATTTAAGATAGGAATCTCACTTTTGTGATTCTGTTCTTCTCCTGTCTATGCTGTAAGCAAAGGATTTTGATTTTTCTGACAAGCCCCATTTCAAAGTTCTGTAGGTTATTGCTATAGAAAGCAGGTGCTGGGTTCAAGTCGAGCAAGAATTTCTTACAAGGAGAGAAGTCATCTAAACTGGGACCCAAACTAGCAGATGGCAACCACACGTTTGGTAAGCAAGCAGCAGATGGCCAATGACTCTTGCAAAATCATTCACTCCCTCCTCCAGATTCGAAGAGGGCCTTTATCTGTGAAATTCTATTACCAATCCTATTTCCAGTCCGGAGAGACAAGTCAGTCCCCTGGGAATGGAAAATAGCTGTTTTTAAGAACTGAAAACGTGATGGCTCTCTGAGATCAGGAGTGCTGAACACCCAGTGACTTAGAATCACCATTTGTCAACATGGGGTAATATCACAGACAGAGAAATGCATGTGGCCAGCCAGCTGGAGAAAATATTCCCAACCCAAAAGCGATTGAACCAAAACAAAATCTGCACCATGTCAGCACTGAAGTGGATTCTCACAGGCTCTAAAGAAAACAAAACACTGATGGAACATGCATTGGGAATCTCTGAGCCCTGGAAGCCATGCAAATGTATGGTTTGAGACTGAGTTCAGCATAGGCTCAGAGTATCCTTTCACCTGGACCAATCAAAAGGACAGCCCTAATGGTATCCAAGAGAAAGAATGAAAATATACATTTATAAAATCTCTCTTAATATAATTAAGTGAAGTAAGCCAGGCCCGAAGAAACCTAGGTCCCATGGTTTCCCTTATTTGCAATATCTAGTATATGTCTGAGTCAAGCAGAAAAGGTGGTATAAGGTGATGTTAGGGAAATGAACCCTAAGATATGTATTCAAATGTTTTTTTTCTTTCATGCAATTGTTTCTAACACATTTATAAGATTATTTCTTTGTTGCTTTGTATATCCCTCCCCCACAGTATAACCCCTGCTTTCACTGTATTTGATGTCGGTATAATTTGTGGAGGGGAAGGGGAAAAACAAATCATTTAATTAGGGATACAGGTGGATTGCAACAATGAGATGTACAAGTCGGACGGGGGGGGGGTGTTACGTGGGGAAGCAGGAGGAGGAAGTGGAAGGGGTGGGAAGGGGAAACAAAGAAGGAGGCTACAATGCTTGATAAGAAATGTATTCATTATCTTGCCTATGTAATTGTAACCCTCTGTACAGTATTTTCACAATAAAAAAAAATCTCTCAAGCTGACATTACCTTCATTCTTAGTGGTTGGGGTAGGGAGAGTAAGCATTATTGCTGACTTCTGAAGAAAAGTAGCTATAAAACATGATCAGTTATAACTACAGGTTCAAGGAAAGATTCTCCTTATTTTGTTCGGAGAAAAGGCCAAGAGATATGCAAACTACTTCTTGACTTGCAGAATACATTTTGTACAATTTGACTGTTATGTTGAATTTCCAACTGTTTTCCTAAATCTGTATGAAATGCATTTTGCAATTGCTTCAAAAAATGTCAATGCCTAACCTTAGGCTGTTTGGGTCCTTTCTTCTAGTCTTTTAAGGAAATCGACACTGAGTTCTATCTGATAGAATACTGCTCCATTAATCTCATGTCCAGCAGAAAAGAGTAAGGTGAGGCTCAGAACTACACCTTCTCCCAGCTTTGGCCTCTTCAGTTGGAATTATATAATCTGGAAAATGATCCAGGTCAAGACTATACAGAAACCTGGCTTAGTTCATTCGGAAGGGGAAAAAACAGATGCAAGCAGAGCCTAGCTTGTAATTTCTGGAGTAGGTAAACCTTGAGTCCATTGCTCCTGAAATCAATAACTTTACAACAATAATTATGACAGGAAACCAGTGCTACTTCCACAGTTTCTATGTTTCACATGTAAGCACATACACATCTTATTTTTAAATAAAAATCTGACCAATAATCCTCAGGGGGGGCTTATGTACAATTTAAATTTAAAGTCAGATTTTATTCCCCCTCTTCTCTCTCTCTTTCTCTCTTTCTCTGTTTATCTCTCTTTATCTCTCTCTCTCCCTCTCTCTCTCACACATTCACACACACACACACACACACATACACACACACACACACACACACACACACACACATACACATACATACACACATTCACAAATAGTAAGGGGCAGGGATGCAATTAGAATTCCAGTAGGAACTGCCACATTTGATTGATTGTTTTAAGCCAATGTAAAAAGTGATTACTAAAATTCATCTTGAACTATGCTCAGGGCCTTTGTCCATTGCAGGATGGGCATTTTTTGCACTCTACCGAGCAGCAGCTATGATATCCAAAGCTGAGCTTTCCACACTGTGCCCTGAATACTTAAGAGATACGAGCTCTTTGAAGTCATACTGTTGCTTTGTGCTCTTTGTATTTACTTAGGTTCAGTACTCAGAAATGTTTCATGGAAAAAGGTGTGATATGAATGTTATTGTTTAGGGTAGTCCACAATATAGGTCAGAAAATTAAGTGATTTTTTTTCTAATTGGCTGATAAATGCTCAAATACTTTGATCCTTCTAAGAAACCTTGATTATTTTAAATCAAGCACACATTCTCAGTTGTTTCAGAAAGCATATAAAAATATATTTCCTAGAACACTCACACTTACTTTCTTCCTACCATCACAATTTCTTTTCAGTCTAACATTTGCCTAACACCTATTTCTATCATACCTTGGTGGAACAAAGGTGGCCATAAATATAAACATACAATTCATGAAAAAAAAATCAGTGAATAAAAAAACCTCAAGAAATGTATAACTCAATTTAAATGAGTACATTCCTGACATCCTCCCTAAATTCCATTACTTTGAAGACCTACCCTTGACAAGGTATTGAATCCTGGTCTGGGATCCTTGATTCTTCGAGTTGCTGATATGCTGGTCCCACAATTCCTCCCAGCCTGCTACGGGGCGAGGGGGGTGTCCTTCTGAAGGTATTCCTATGAAGCATCCCACTTCTTTGTCCAGGGCTACAGCAAGAGGACAGACTCCTGCTGGATTGAAAAGGAGACAAAACAAAACCAACAAACCAAAGAGATCATAGCAATAACCTCCAGGTGGTTGCTTGAATTTCTCAAACATTTCATTTATCCCACCCTGCCCCCATATCCTCAATGTCCTGGCCCCAAGGCCCGTCCATGAGCATCATTTATGAGCTTGGCTGGGATTAGGATATGCCCACTTCACTCTCCTTGTGGAGACACTGAGACAAAGAGAAGTACCTTTGTTTCTGGCTTTCCAATTTAGAGTACTGCTGATTAAAGTAACTAGCTTTCCAGACAGAGTTAAGAAATGGGTTTAAGGAATTCTCAAGATTCCAATTCCTACCCCTGATTATCCAAGCCATATAGCTGTCTCTCTAATTGGAATAAAAATGGCCTTATTAGACACTGAAAAGAACGAAACTCAAGGAAGCCCAGAAGGGATTTATGGAAAATTTTTCATTTCTTAGTGATAGAATAAACAAACCTCACTTTAATTGGCATTCTTTTCTTAACATATGTGATAAATTCTCAGTTCACTGTCCCCAGATTTTCATCAATCTCAAATAACTAAACTACTTTTTTCCTTCAAGTTTTCTGTTAATAAGCATTGGGTGAGATATTTCATTTGTTATATAGATCTAAAATACTCAAGTTAACTGTGTTTCTACCAGCAGAGGTCAAAAGATAAAGTGAGATTTGGCATAAACTCTAACAAACTGGAAATCTCTCATGTGGATTATATAATAATAAAAGAACTAGACTCAACAAAAAATTGACTGCTACTTTGACTCAGTATATCTTCTGTATTGATTTCTACCTTTACCCTAGTGAACTGACTGGTGAGAATTTTGTTCACTAGTAGATATAGCTAGTGATATTTTATGTGGTTAAACTGGATCAGTCTTATCTGCACAGTACATGAAGTAAGAATTGTATGGCCTATTTGCATTGTCTGAAAAATACCACTATCTTCATGTTAGTAAAGATGGAAATTCTTCTCAAATTTTCAGTTAGTATATTCTAGGGTCTAGTCTGGCAAGATTAATTTTGTCATTTTTTTCTCCCAACAATATCAATTATTTCTGCTACTTCGTAAATATAAGATAAACTTGGAAAATAGTATTTAAAGTGAGCATTTGAGAACTTCACATTTGCGTACTAGCAGCCACTTTCCTGGGTTTGTCAAAGTGATGGATAATGCTGTATGCTTCTCAGAAAATATTAGCTTCTTGAATTTGTGCAAACAACAGATCTGGCAACACCAGTATACCTCAGTTCTTTATCCTGATACTTCTTGCATATCAAGACTTTAAATACTTATTAAGAGAGTCAAATAAGCCAAAACACTGAAGGAACAGCTGTTTTGTTACTATTTCTCCTCACTTCTAATCTATGTTCCCATGTATGGTCATCATGGAAGATTAAGGTATCTGCACAGAAATCTCAGCTGTGAGCATGAACAGAAACTTGATACTGGGATACATACTTGCAATAGAGTATTGGAGGGAAATAAATGTCTTTTCTTTAAAAAAAAAAAAAAGTGCTTCAATTCAGGGCCTGGCCACTATCCCTAAGCTATTTTACTCAAAGCTGGTGCTTTATTACTTGAACCATAGCTCCACTTCCAGATTTTTTGGTAGTTAATTGGAAAGGAGAATCTCATGGATTTTTCTGCCTGATTGGCTTTGAACTAAGATCCTTATATCTCAGCTTCCTGAGTAGCTAGGATTAAAGGTAGAGGCCACAAATACCTGGCATAAATTCCTTTTCATTTGAGAAAATTTTATAACTTAAATGATGTTATCAGTGTTTGGCAGAAAAAATTAAGCTAAAAGGCATGAAGTTGCTACTGCCCTGAAAAGGTCAAGAAGAGGAACATTGAGTATTATAAGGACAAGGTCAGCTGGCAGGCTCTCTTGTCTCTGAAGATCCTCATACTGAGGCAATCAAGCAGAGAGAGAGTGGGGGAGGGACAAAGTGCTACTCTTCTTAATTTCCTCTCATGTTTCTATGACTTGCCTCTGAGCCAACATGGGCTGGAGGACACATAGCTCTTCAGGAGCATATGGCTCAGTAAAGAAAGTTACAGGCTATGTGGCAGGATCTAGTGAGGATTGTGGCCAAAGAAGCTTCCAGTATCATGCAATAATTAAAGCAGATAAATTATGCAAGCACTTAGAATGTAGCCTGGCACATAGTAGCCTATAAATCCAAAAAAAATTCCTCTGCCACAACTGGCAACATGTGATCATCCCACATCATGATGGAAAACCTGACCATGTGCTTTTTATAAGTGTCAGATGCCCCAAGATACATTGCATTAAAAATGACAGGCTTTAATAGGTTTCTTTCTTAAGTAGGTGGATTTTAGGACAGAACATTAGAAATAGTGGCTTTGAATTAATGTTTGGTTCATAAGTAAGCTATCTAAATGAGTCATGAGTCATATTCTCGGTGCTCCCCCCCCCAAAAAAAACCAATTCTTAGTAACTCACTTAACTGTCATAACTACTATGACTGCATGATGTGGTAACCTGTCTAAAACATAGTTCTGCACCTAAATCATTGATCAATCAGCTATTCAGGCTTCCTAACCAGGTGGCATTCAAGAAATCATGGAGCAGTTAGCAGGCTGTATAAATCAGTGACTGGGTTATCAATCACACAAGCACTTAAAATCTAGGGCATGTTTTACAAAACAAGAGCCATCATATATTACTCTATAATTTCCAAAGTTCTAAAGTGCACTTTATAAATCAACCCTTGCCTATCTTGGAACACAATGTAAGTCAACAGATACTGCCATGTCATTGAGCCAAACAATAAAGAAAGGGTCTTAAAAATGACCTCTTTTCAGCTTCCAATGACCTCTAGAAATCAAATCCAAATGAGCACAGGAGGAATGTACACACAGACCAGAATTGGGTTTAAGGATGCATCAGTTCATACCCATTAGAAGCTGTTAAGTTTTTAAAACTTCAGCTTTAAAATATTTATGGCATGATAGGGTATGGGAATAATGTAACATTAAAAACCCTATTACTTGACTGGGTGGAATTCTACTTTAACATATGTTATAATCAGCAGGGGGAAAAGAATGTTTTCATGAAAATATTCATCTTGCAAAAGGCTGACAATTTTCGAGATATTTCCCCAATTAAGATGACTTCTATTAGGCTCTGGGAGATGAAATGCTCTTTTCACAGTGAAGTGTTCTGTAGAGGCAACAAATGGTACAACCCAAAACTTAAAAATAGCTAGAACAGCTATCCAAAAGCCACACATAATTCAGCCTTAAATTGAAGACTGAAAATTGCAATGTACATGTGGCCAGGAGTAGGGCATTTCTTCTCCAAAGGCTGACAGAGAGGGAGATGGCCATCTCCTATGACAAAGTGTGCTGCATTTCCGCACACAAAGTATTGGTATATGGAAATGAGGATCAACAGAAGTGGTCCTTAAGGACTTCTGTTCCAGTCTGTTATTGCCTAGTTATCATGTCTGGATGAACATGTGAACATTTCACCTCCATAGTTCCTAACCATTGGTTTCACCATTAACTCTAAATTTAGTCTCATGAGAAGCCTTTTTATAAACTTTAATTATGAACCGTTTTAGGATATGTATTTGTAGTTTGAGAAAAGGAAACATCTGTCTCTGGAGAAGTTGGACAAAGATTGAGGATGTACGTGTAGACATACACAAGCCATGTCAGCTCAGGCATTAGTCCCAGACTCTAACGCTTGGTTTGGAACAGATTTCCTTTCCCTTGTAGAGAACAAGACATGATTTTGCACATGGAAAAAGAAAACAGGATGGAGAAGATGTTGAAAAATAACAGGTTCAGCTCCAGAGTAGCATAAAATGTATCAAATATTTTTTAAAATTTTATATTGTTGTCTTCCCCCCACCCCCGGCCTGCCCACTACCAAGAGCCAATTTCTATTTCAGTGTGAAAAAGAATGACATTGTATTGAGAACAGATCTTGCAGGCCCAAAGAAAAGATTGAACAGGACTTTTCCTCTAGAAAATTTTCTTTGGTATGGACCCTGTTGGAAGGAGCAACTCATAGCACTGCCTAGGGCAGAATTCAACATTAACAATGCAGATAGCGCTAGGTAGGCTAGGAAAACTTGTCATTTTATATTTCACAGAATGCAACCATTCACTGTGCCCCAGTGTGAAGGCTTCCCTCGGGCGCTTTGAGGGGCAATGCTGTCCACGGGGGAAGCTGGTGTCTTTGATTTACCTGTCACAAGCTGCTTGAACATGGCTTCCATGAAGAGCCACGGAAGAAGCAAGAACCATCTCTTCTCCTGCACTCTGCAGCCATTCCTGGCCACCTGTGTCCAGCAAACACCCAGTGTGAAGTTGCCCACTGCCACCATGATTAGCTACCTGTACCTGTGATGTTTGACAGGTTGGCTTCCTCTGTCTGGAGAAGGGACCTCAGGGAATGACTGGGGGCTGGAAAAACTTGACTCCATCATTTTCTCCAGTGCAGTCACAGGATGCCTTTCCGTCTTTGAGTACTGTGGGGAATCACAAACAGAGTTGAGCTGGTTGGTTTTGAGTGGAGGGCTAAGAACAGGAGAGCTAGGAATGGAGACGCTCTTGGAATGTTACTTTCTCCTGGGCATCTGGCCAGGAAAATGGGAAACAAGAAAATATGAAGTCCATCTTGTTTGTCATGCATTGAGTATGTACCCTCATCTCCAAACTTTCTCTGGGATTAGATAAGGACAATCAAAGATAGTCCTTTATTTGGAATGCTGAGTCTGTCTTCTCATTTCTAGCTGCAACCACAGCAAACTGAATAACAGCCAGAAAACACTTGTGAGAATAATATATTCTATGTAAAGTTTATATTTTTTTTTAAAAAAGAAGCAAATGAGCAGGACACTGATGGCACATGCCTGTAATCCTAGCTACTCAGAAGATGAGATCTGAGGACTGAAGTTCAAAGCCCAGGCAGGAAAGTCTGTGAGACTCTTATCTTCAATGTACTTCCAAAATGTCAGAAGTACAGCTGGGAATCAAATGGTAGAGTGCAAACCTTGAGCAAAAACTCTCAAGGACAGCGCCCAGGCCCTGGATTCAATCCCCAGAACTGGTGCATACACATAAAAATTTGAATTACTAGCTTGAGTAATAGCAATAATAATACAGGTACAGTGCATAACCTTTTATAGCATTCTGAGAATTATGGGAACATTGAATATGAATATCTGTCCTCCAGGGTCTTATGCTTTTCTCTTTCAGTCTATTACCAGGTGATTACCATGTCTTGAGAAAATTTTTCAACATTTCCCCTTTATAGTTCCTAACCCTTGGTTTCACACTTGACAAAGGACAGAGGTCTAAAGAAGCCTTCTGGAGATGATGCCTTTAGCAAACCTAAGGGAAATGTCACATGATGTCTCAGGGAAGCAGCAAATGTCAAGTTGAACAATCTCTGGATACTTTGGACTTGAGCCTGCAGAAAGGGGCAACAAGTTTCTCTGCTAGAAATTCTAGCTGAGAACTTCCCTCAGAAATGGCACTTTTAGACTGCTAACCAAAGAGATTTTGGAATCTGAATAATCAATATCTCACTTTTATCAAGACAGAGATTTTAAGTATTATTCTCAGCAACCATGAAACTAAAACTCACTAGACTTTTTCTTTTCATTCCCATAGCAAAGAAGTTCATACAGGAAGTCTAGACAATAATGTAAAAAGAAAGACAAGTTGAAGTTAAGCAACCTTTAGAAATTGCAAATCTATAGATAGCATAATGAAATCTCTTATTAAAAAGGTTGAAAAATGAATGAGAAAATATTCAACAATGTATTGAAAACAGGTAAAAGGAAGGGTAGCTTAGTAATACAGATAACACTTCATGACATGTCCTTAAGCTGGGGATGTGGCTCAATGGTCAAATGCTTGTTCATTACAAATGATGTCTTTGGTTTGGTTCCAATAATTGGACTAAAAAGGGAGGATGTTTTATAGCTCTGTGTGTGTGTGTGTGTGTGTGTGTGTGTGTGTGTGTATGTGTGCCAGTGCCCAGTACTAAGGCTTGAATTTAGGGCCTGAACATTGTCCCTGAGCTATTTTTGCTCAAGGCTGGCACTCTACCACTGGAGCCACAACTCCACTTGTGGATTTTTGGTGGTTAAATAGAGATAAGAGTCTCAAGGACTTTCCTGCCTGGGCTGTGAACTGTGATCCTCAAATCTCAGCCTCCTGAGTGGCTAGAATTACAGGTGTAAGCCACTGGCACGTGGCTATGTTATAGCTTTCTAAGAATTCTCAGCTGGGCACTAGGAGCTTATGCCGGTAGTCTTGAGGACAAAGAGGCTCAGGGAACATGCCCAGGCCCTCTGAGTTCAAGCTCCAGCACCGGCCAAATAAACAAAATAAAATAATGTTCTCTTAAGTGTCAGAAAAGAACATATGTACACATACATTTCAAACTAAGAGCCATATGCAATCAATTGGTAGGTTGCCTACAGTCTCATGTTATATGAATTCCAAGGATTACATAGTAAATAAGAATGAGCAGAGAAGAAAAAGATATACAACTTTGGTCAATAATAGAAAAGTATGAGACTGATCTTGGACTCTAAATTCAATAAAGAATGATCTCTTTGATTAATAGAAAATTCTTTATAAGGCTAAGTATGCAAATTTACTCATAAATTTAGATAGAAAAAAATTTTGAAGGCTCAAAACATGGAGACATAGAATGACACAATTTATGCTAAGTTTAATTTACTACCAATCTAACTACCCCAAGTAACAAATAATCATTAACCCAGAAATTCAAATTTGAACAAATATTTGATATTTACTTGCAAAACTAGTCTTTTTTTAAATTGTGAAAATACCATACAGAGGGGTTACAATCACATGAGCAAGGTAATGAGTACATTTCTTATCAAGCATTGTAGCCTCCTCCTTTGTTTCCCCTTACCATCCCTTCCCATTCCCATTCCCCACCCCACCACCCCCACCAAAATTGTAAAGTTCGTTTTTCGACATAACGACTTGTACATCTCATTGTTGCAATGGGTCCACCTGTATCCCTATTTAAACAATTTGTTTTTCCCCTTCTCCTCCCCAAATTATATCAACATCAAACACAGTGAAAACAGGGGTTATACTGTGGGGGAGGGACATACAAAGCAACAAAGAAATATTTTAGAAACAATAGCAAGAAAGAAAAACCATTTGAGTTCTTATCTTGGGGTTCACTTCGCCTAACATCAACTTATCTGACCGTTTCTGCTTGTCTCAGACATATACTAGTTATTGCAAATAAGGGAAACCATGGGACCTATGTTTCTTAGGGCCTGGCTTACTTCACTTAATATAATTTTAGGTGGTAAAGCATTAGCCTTGAGCAAAAAGAGTTCAGGGATAGCACCTAGGCTCTCAATTCAAACCCTACAACCAATGAAAAATAATAAGAAAGAAAGAAAAGAACTCTCCACTAGAGCAAAACTAGTCTTATAATTCAAAGACTGCACAGGAATTAAGTGAGAAAAAAAAATAAGAAAAGCAATAGTATAAATCTTGCAGAAAAATTTTGCAGACCGGTACATAGTATCCTCACAGGAAGGTAGACTTCTTGCATTCTTTGTAAAAGAATGATGAACAGAGCACCAGTGTCTCAAATCTATAATCCTAGCTTCTCAGGAGAATGAGACCAAAGGCCTCAGAGACAAAGTTCATGAGACCCCTTCTCCAATTAACCATTACCCAATCAGAGTAGAGGAGTGGCTACAGCAATGAAGCACATCCAAGCAAGCATGCCAAGCAATCTTGAGCAATCGTGAGTTCAAACCCTAGTACTACCCCTTCCCCCTAAATAAAAAATAGGCAAAAATAAATTCCAAGCACAATCTAATACATAAAAGATCCAGAAAATGTACAGTTGGTCCTATTTTTGTTGACAGACCAATCAACAATAGGTTGCAAAAATTTTAATATATGTAATCTTTGATCCAAAATAATACTTCCCAGAATTCCATTAAGAAATTACTGCAAAAGTACCATATGAAATGATTCTAGGGTATACCAGTGATACAATTTCTCAGTTTTTAATAACCAAGCAAGACAAATATAAAAGAGAAACACTTGAAATAAAAGAAATGTTCACTAGTGTAGAGTTATTCAGAATAAAAGCAAGATACAAAAAAGTGTATACACAAAACTATTTTTAAAAATAAGAAAAGAATAGAATAAATACATGCACATATGTTGAATATATCTATATGTAGTTACACATATTTCTTTATATATGTCTATATATGTCAACTTTTGTGCATATATGTACTGCTACACAATCACTCAGGATATAGATCATTTTTACACAAAACAAATTATTTTAAGTAAATGACTAGCTGGGTATTAACCTTAAACTACTACAAAACAAAGTTCTGTCAAAGACTGATTGCATAAACAATGGTTCTCATAACATTATAACCAAGCTGAAACATTCCCATTTCCTCGTGAGCTTTTAATACAGTAAATAATGTAGCATGGGGCACTTGTAATGGTGTTGATGATGATAAAACATTCAGTCGTGTGTAGTAGATAGCATTTAATAATGATAATAATAAATGACTGTTACTGATTTCTATATATCCTATACTATAGGACATATACCATACATCTAATTATTATTTTTGTCATTTTATTGTGGGTCTGGAGATTGAACTGTTGGCTTCACAAAGGCTAGTAAACCACACTAGTGCTGAGCTATAGCTACTATCCTTCAAAAACTTCCTTTTTTTCTGCTGGACCTAGGGCTTGAACTCTGGATGCTGTCTCTGGTATTTGTACTCAAAGATAGCACTCTACCACTTGAGCCACAGCTCTACTTCTGGAGATAGAGTCTCATGGATTTAACTGTCTGGCTGGCTTCAAACCATCCTTCTCAGATCTTAGCTTCCTGAGTAGCTAAGATTACAGGCGTGAGCCACTGGTGTCCAGCTCAAACAAAGCCTTCTTATTTTGAATAAGAGTCTTGTCACGTTGTCTAGGCTGGTCTCCTTATAATCCCCCTGCCTCTGCTTCTTGAGTAGCTGGAATTACAGGTTTTCACCATCAATCTAAATTCGAATCATTGTTTGTAACTTTGTTGCAGGACTGTATGGTATGTAAAATCAGCAGCAGCTTCACAAGTCTTATGTTTACCCCCATTTCTTGGAATATTGACCTTTAGAATCGAGATTTGTTTAATTACATTCAATGATGTTTATATAATGATTAAATTGGTTCAATAATGCATTTGTCAGCACTTATTTCCATTGTTAAGTGACACATGACTTTATATAGTGATTTTTACTTACAGAGTCTTGGAAATTTTTCAGTCATTATTTTGAAGTTCAGAGCTCCAAATGTGGTTTATTCTCTACGTATTTTCAAAATAAGCCACATAGTGGCAGTAATAACCACCTCTTGAGCCAGAATATAAATTCTACAAAAGCAGACTTGTAGATGCAGATCAGACTTTGGTACAACAGAGAGGAAGAAGAGAAGG